TGGTTTTTATGGTGATTTCTGAGAGTAGATTGAATCAAAAATTGAAACATGGATGTTCCAGAACAAAGAACGAGTTTGTATCTTTTAAAAACTGGTTTTATTAACGCCATTGATGAAGTCACACGAGTCCCATTGTAACGCCATCGCCGGATATTCAAAGGGCCGTGATTGTTGACTCTGTGACGAGACAGAGACCATAGAAAATTGGTCTCAAGATCTCGAGCATCTCCAACACCAATCTCCCCTTTTTTGAGATTAACAAAGAATGCCTTGAAGTTACTTTGTGCAATAATCAATGCAGTTTAGTTTGAACAAACGGCTGCAAGTGTCCTGAATACCTTAGGTACATGTTCTGTAATAGAAAATTCTCACATTCTTGTGTAAATGAGAACTGCAGAGACGCAGCAGCTGAGCCCTTTAATCACAAACACCAATCTGCCGACATGCTGACAACTCAAAACTCACAAGAGCAACGACTTCAAGCTACGAAGAGCAACTCTGTGTTGTCAAAACAATGACTGGGTAGTCATTAGTGGCTGACATTAAAAGTGCTATGTTATTTAGAGGAACAAACAGCACACCGATGCCTTTCTCTGGTCTCCATAGGCGTCCTGTCGGCAGTAATCTACGAGTCGCGTACACAGCCACTCTTGTCCAGAAGAGTTTCAATGGATATCTTTGTGTTCACTGATTAAATAAAAAGCACAGCGGCTCCAAGGGTCAGTGCGGCTCTTGTACGGCTCTCTGATTGTTAAAATGAACGTGTCTCTATATAAAGAGAGGCTGAGGGAGAGAAAGCCGTCTGTCATTAACTTAAAAGAGGAAATGTGGCCTTTTCATTCCTCTTCCTCAATACTTGTATTGCTCTGGTCATCATAAAGAGGTCATGCACTACAAAATACTTGCTGATTTCACCAGCAACAAAAGAGGAGCACAGACGCACTTTGAACCAAAGAATATTTATTTGTATAAATAAAATAAAGAAAATAGGCCTAATTAAATGAGGAAAAGGAGGATAAGCCTATCGAAGGCCAGGCGATGAATCCGCATTGCCTGGCCCATCGTTACACGCTGCCACCGGGAACGCCAGTATACCGCGGATCAAATCCCGGCCAGACCTCGACACACTGCCTAGAGAATGACGCTTCCGCTCAGATCAGCTGGCACCTTCCTATGTTGTCCCCAAATGACCGTCAGGTGCATCAGCCACTCCCCTTTAGCTGGCACCTATAGGATGATCAATGTGACACCCCGGATGTGACGTCACCGTGCAGCCACTGACCCGGGACGTCACACTGGTATACTACATTTATAGAAAATACATACTTTCCACAGTGGTTAAATGGTTGACTTTTTTCTTTCCTAAACATTGCATACGTTCACAGCTGGAAAGCTCTGTACATCCCAGGCATTATGAAAAGGAGCACTCTTACACCCCACCACACCCGCAGTGGATCTGATCTTCAGCCTCTGGATAATCAACACTTTAGTCTCAGGGTGAATCTTCGGCATGTTTGCAGAGGTCTAGTTGCAGTTTGATGTGAAGGTCTAGAGCACCGGGGTTCTCTTATACACCTCTGATACCTGATGGATCCAGGTGATGTCTTTGCAGAAATGGACTTCACCAAGCTGTGAATATTAGAACACGTTCTAACAGTTTCATTTTAAACTGATACCTTACTACAACAGCTTTTGGGATTAAAATGAGAAAAAAAAATCTTGATAAGTAAAATGTTTCAGCGACACAAGCAACAAGATTTTTGTCAGGGACTCTATGCCCTAGTGGTGAACTCATGAAAGAACTGAAAACTAAAGTTAGAGTTTCAGAACTAAATCTGACTGTTCCAAAGGGCCAAGAAGTCCCCCAGCCAGCCAGAGCGCTCACCCAGGATATCTGCTCTCTACACGGGCTGGAATATTGTGGCCCGGTTTGGTGTCTAGCGCTCTCACGCTGACGCGCACGCACACACAACATCTATAGAGCGGAAAGGGGGCGAGCAAATCTGATCATGGAACATCTTGATAAATGAGGAATTACTGTGTTGTTAAAAGCTACAATAAAAGGTTTACTATCTGAAACAAATGCAGCTACAATTTCTTTAATTAAAAGTACCATTATTTCTATTAATTGTAAACTTCTTCTTTTGTATTTAGATTCCATGGACCAAGCTAAAGACTCTTCCAATCTCTCTGGTAATGAAAGTGTAATTTTTTTCTTTAAATTTATTTGGTCCCATTGGGTTTGTTTTGGACGGTTATTTTGTCCGTTATTTGCACTAATCGTAATAAATAAAGCTAAGAAACCTTTCTCTCAGTCTTTGGATAAAGTCGTGATGGAGATGAGCACCTGTGATGAGCCCCGCCCACCCAATGGCCCATCCCCAATAGCAACAGCCTCGGGTCAAAGGTCAGTTGGTTCTGTTTATTTAATGAGTCTGTTATCCCATCCCAGTGCACGGTATAACAGTTTATTTTCTCGCTACGTCGTCAGTGAATATGGTTTTGCAGAGAAAGTGGTAGAGGGCATCTCTCTCTCTGTGAACTCCATTGTGATCCGCATCAGCGCCAAAGCCTTTAACGCCTCCTTCGAGCTCTCGCAGCTCCAGGTCTACAGCGTGACCAACAACTGGACCGCCGGAGACCTCAAGTACACTCGTATCCAGGACCACACGCGAGGAGAGGTGACTGGGCACTGCGATGGTTTGTGTCTGGTGAGCTGCGCTAACACTCATGTGTGTTTCAGATGCTGACGTTTAAGGAAGTGAGCTGGCAGATGATTCGGATCGAAGCTGACGCCATTCAGGACACGGAGCATGAGGTCGTCAGCACCCCCATACGCCTCATAACCAACCAGTCGAAGATCAGAGTCACGTTAAAAAGAAGAGTAAGAACGCTGTCTGTACTTAAACACTTGTTTTGTCCAAAGCTGTTAGCCGTGCAGCCGTGAACCACCTTCCGTAATGAATCACCGGAGATGGGGTCAAACGAAGACTTCTAAGCTTCTTCTTTTAGTAAACCTTTTTAACAGTGTATTTCTACTGAAGAGATGAGATTCACAACAGAACATTTCTTCTAAAGCACCATTTCTAATAAAGAAAACAAAAAGAGCGAGTTTTTATCCTCCTAATTTAAAAAACAAACAAACAAACAAACAAACTCTGAAGCACTGAACTCTTTTTCTGTATGAGCTCAAGCGTCTTCTGTGTGCTTGTCTCCGACCTTGCAACAAACTGCTTCTGTTCACTCCCGAACTGTAAGTCGCTTTGGAAAATGTTGAGGTAAAGTTCACTAAACTAACAATTGTAAAGTATAGAGCGATGCATGTATAACTCTCTACATTATTCCTAGCAAAATTGAAAGCATAAAAAAAGCTTTTTCAAGCAACAATGAGCCTGATGATGGAGAGCTAAGCTAGACTCGTTTTGTTATAAAATAACCCACTCTCCCACTCGGACATGGGTTTGCTTTAGGTCATTATCTTCTCTAGGCACCATGAATAGTTTCCGCAGGCTTCTGAGGCTCACAGCTCGACGTCTGTGTGCTTTTCAGATGAAAGACTGCAATGTTGTGGCATCGAAGCTGACTCTGATCCTGGACGACCTGCTCTGGGTGCTGACCGACTCTCAGCTCAAGGCCATGGTGCAGTACGCCAAGTCTCTCGGCGAGGCCATGGAGAAATCAGCCGCTCAGAGGAAGAGCATGGCCCCGGATACGGCACAGGTTTGTGCCCGCCCTCATCCCCGACCCGGCATTCGTTTGCTATTATCGTAATGCTGCATTTGGCATTTCACGCTGGGGTTTGAACAGATATCCCTGCTTAGCATGTTCTTGCTGTTTTAGGTAGCACCAGCAGCCCCCTCTGTTCAGCAGGTCCGGGCACAGCAGGCTTCAGCCACAGCGGACCAAAGCGCCTCCATGGCTCAGCTCTTTAACTCCCATGATGTCCGTGAAACTTCTCACCACCTCCAGATCACACATTTGGACCTGCACATATGCGACGACACCAATGCCAAGGACAGAGGTACCAGGACTCATGTTTCACTCGCAGTTTTTTGAATCCACGAGTTGTTTTTGAAGCAACGTTTATGTCTCTCTGCAGGAATTAATAAGAGATTGGATGGAGGTGCGATGCAGCTTTCCTTCAGCTTCATCACCGTCGACTATTACCCTTTTCACAAAGCAGGTACTTGGTTAGGTTCTAGTCGTAAAATACCTGAGAAGGACCGCATTCAACTGTACTTTCCTTCAGGTGAGGACTGCATGCACTGGATGCATTACGGTGAGCCAACAAAGTCTCGCGAGACCTGGGCGCGGTCCCTGCTCGAGGAGTTTAAGGCTAATGTGGATATGCTGAAAAACGCCGTCAGTGGCCAGTCCCAGAGCTCCCCGCAGCACGGTGAGCACCACCGGTAACATCTGAAAAGTGAAAGAAACAAGTGAACTTTCAAAAGCACATTTCACCAAAACAAACAAAACCCAAATGAAGTGATGCATTTATCGAAAAAGTTTAACCACTCACAAAGAAAAATATTTCAAGTCTTTGTTTAAATCTTTATGGATTAAATATGAAAAAACACAACAACAAGAAGAGTAGGATTTCACAAATATTAGTATTGGCCTTCTCTCTCAGTTCACTCCCAGATTTCTGAATGAATCTTCCGTGCCGATGCTCATGCCTGCGCTTATACTGCAGCTTCTACTTTTTTCCAAATGACAATTTCTCCTTATGGAGGATGTCAATGATGGTCTGCACAACCATCAAGCCAGCAGTCCCCCCTGTGAATGATTACACTGAGAAACGGGGAGCTGACAATGATGAACTTTGTAATGATAATCTATTTCTTTAATCCATAATGATTTCAATAAAGAAATGAAGGCTTGACATATCTCACGTTGAAAATAATGATCTAATATAACAGACTGTTTCACTTTTTTAACAAAATTGTGGAATACTATTTGCTGTGGAGTACAGCGCTCAGCGTAAACAAGTGCAAGCCCTTTTTTCTGTGGCTCAGTTGGTAGAGCATTGCGCTAACAACACAGAGGTTGTGGATTCGTATCCTAGGAACTGAAAAAAAGTGCTTAATTCATTCAAATGTAAGTCACTTTGGATAAAAGCGTCTGCCAAATGCATAAATGTAATGGAACTTAAATCAGAAAATGTTTTACTCAAATTGGTCGAAGCACAAATGAACAAACCCTGCAACAAAAACCACTGCGTCAAGTGTTTCGTACGAGCGCCGTGATTTTTACGACAATGGAATGAACGAGTTGGCGACAGATTGCAGCATCGATCTTTCTCCATTCTTCAAGAAGAACCTCTTCTAGAGCGGGATGCTGGATGGAGAGCGACGCTCCAGAATTCCCTGCAGGGGTTCAGATCAGGAGACGTTCGATCACCTTCACCCTGATCTTCTTCACAAATGCAGCAGGAGCTGTAGTCGTGTGTTTGGGATCATTGTCGTGCTGGAAAAGTGATGGCAGCATCTTCTCCTTCAGCATCGAGCAGAACATTATCTCCTGCAGCTCCACATCAGCTCCATCATTCACTGTAGGCACCGGGCATTTCTCTCTGAAATCCTCACCTTTACGACGCTGTACAGTTTTAAAACCTACGGCGAGATCTTTGTCTCATTGCTCCAGAGTCTCGAGTCCCAGGAGTCTTCATCTTCTTCAGCAAGGGCTTTAGGAGAGGCTCCTTCGTGGACGATACCCATGCTGCCGTTCCTCTGCAGTGTGCACCGTATGGTTCACGGGAAACAGTTTAGCTTCTACTGCTTTATCTAATGCAGGAGATTTTCTTCAGAAGAGGCTCCTGTCGAGATGTTCTCTTCCATCTTTCTGAAATGTTTGGATCACTTTCGCTGCAGTGTTTTGACTGAACGTAACGCTTTGCTGATCTTCTTGTAGCCCTCAACTTTTTGTGTAAAGAAATGTTTCCTTTCTCAGATTTTGTGACATTTTTCTTCCATGGGGAGCCATTGCTGACAACATGAAATGGGAGGGGCTTTTCTTTGTTCTGTAATGCTCTTTTATAGTCCCCCTTCAGCTGGACTCCTCTGAAATAAATCGTTAGAATCACCTTTCATTTCTGCAACATGGGCTTGAACGAATTTGTTCTTTCAAAAGGTGTTTTGACAAATGTTGTGGTGTGTACTTATTTATGCTGAGCGCTGTAGTTCTGAGATGGTTTTAGTGTTATTTCATGACATACTGTTACACCCCTACTTCATAACATTTTCATCGAGATTTTGTGGTTGGAATTTGATCTAGACACCATTTTCTTGGTTGACTGCTTTTATTAAATGATAATTATTTGCAGTGTAGGTATGTGTCCATCAAGCGCTTTTGGTTGTTTGCGTCAAGGGCTCTTGTCGAAGACTCTAAGGCACTTTCAGAAACACTAAGCACACACTGATGGGCTGCTAATGTGTTTATGCTGGCAGAAGGTTCTCCGTCTGGCCTCTGCAAGTGAATTAGAATCTTTGTTTGAGGGCCTTTAACGCAAGAGTCACGCCTGTGCTGGAGTGTAGTACACTTCTGTCGGGTTATGAGGAAATTGTGATCATGTGATCATTGTTATGTTCTTGGAGTGCGTTTGCAGGGACCTTTAATTGCGCCTCGGTTCCGGCTAACACCTGTGTAGTTTGCGAGGTGTTTTCGTAATGGGTTCTGTGTCCCCAGTCCATCAGTCGATTGTCTTAGAGGCGCAGGGTGGAGGGATTTTGGTTAGGGAGCTGATCTCAGGCTCTGATGGCTTGTGGCCTCTCTCCCCCGTGGCCAACTGCTGCTGGTGTCTGGAGACAGGTAGCTCTGGTGTGCGTTTGAGGTGCCTCACAAACAAATGGCTGCGGTTTGTTCAGATGCTTCTCTGCGCCTGTGATGTCTGAGTGCAGATGTGTTTCTCCCACAGGAAAGATCTCCACCAGCTCCAGCACTTCCTTCTCTCCCCCACCCGTGCCGAGAACGCAGCTCATGTCCAGCTCAGTAGTGCTACGGATGGCGGATTTCAGCATCTACCAGGTTTGATCTTCACTTTTCACAGCGAAACATCCTTTAGTCAGCGCCGCTGGCACACGGGGGCGTGGCAGTGGCATGTAAGTGCATTTGGGGAATTGGATTTCCCGACCTCGCCCCTTCCACATTCACTTCCTGTCAGTACTACTGTCCTAGCAATAAAAGCTTGAATTGAGCAGAGAAATGGCAAATGAGAAATTCTACATTAAAAACAAATCTTACCTGAGGATAATGTATGGCCTCTAGCTGCGAATGTAACGAGTTTGATTTGAAAATGTGGGACAAATGTTCAGACTGCTGAACTATAAAAAGAGAAAAAGCTAAAAAGCTCCAACATGAAGAAATAGCTAGAACCCGGGAGCTGAAAGCAGCATTTTGTGTCTGGTGATCCAAATCACCACATACTCTAATCGTAAGTGAAATATTTGGCTTCTTTATGGGTCCGTGTCTGCTGCGTTTATTACATTTTTGAGTCTTAATTGAAAATTGATGTTCAAAATTTGACCTCATATTCTTCTTGTTATGTTATTTCGAATGCAAAACAAAAAACCCTGTGTTTTCCTTTTTAATGCAAAATCAGACCTTTTTTTTATATTCGTACAATTCCAGTAGGTTAACAAACCACATACGATAAACAGAAAATGATTATGTTATTGTTCAATAACACAATAATCCATGAATCTCTGTTAACGTTCAATCTGCTTTACGCAGCTGTCTTTTCCACACTGGACAGGCTAATCTTAAACCTTTTCAGTTAAAGTTCACTTTAACTTATTTGTGGATTGTGTTTCGGAGCAACACTTTCTGAGGCACAAAGAGAAGAGAATAAATGTCAGAATCACATTTCGATCCGACTGTAGCTAACGCCGTTAGAGAGGAGGTGTGCTCATTGCTCTGGTTCCCTTAGACATACCCAAGTGATTGTGTATAAAAATAGCCTTTGTTTAATTTTTTTTGTTTCCGTTTCTAAAAACAAAATAAAAAAATGAGCAAATATTTCAGTTTCTTGTCATTTTATTGTTTGTTATTCCGCAATAAATCCACTGCATCGCATCACTAATGTTACGTCCTAACAAAATAACTTTTCTTAACTACGTGCTTTTTTTTGAGCAACAAAAGAGTGACTGTGAGGGAAGACTGTAGAGTTTCTTTACTTGAATGCTGCTCCAGTTTATCTTGTCGTTAATAAGCTGCTCCAATGGTTCAAGCGTAGCAAATATCTACTTGAAAACACCACCAGGCTGTTAAATCGAATAGAATGCTGTGGCAATTCAAGCTTTTTTTTTATTATTATTAATTCTGCACACACTTGGTACATAACACTTTCTCACTTTACGTTGTATTAAAAATTAAGTACATGCCTTTCTCAAAATGTTGTGTTCAATAAAACATAAAAAGAGGAATATTGGGTAGAATTTAGATTTGTTTATTTTTTTCATTCAGAATTAAAACTCGCGCAATCCTTATTTTATTTTATTTTGAGCACCTCGGCCTTGCTTAGTCTTCAGTGAAGGAGGCGTGGCCTGATAGTAAAGCCAATCAGGTCGCTCTGAATGCTGCGATTAATCGAAGAGAACAACCAGTCCTTGAGTTGATTTTTAGGTCTACTTAACACTCCAGAAAAAAGCATTAGGGAATGATGATCAACAGTCAGCCCTGGTTTCTGACACCCAGTGACATCCGAGTTCTGGTTTCCAGCACTGGCTGATCCCTCCTCTTTGCTGTGTTTTTTTTAATCTTTGAAAATCTAGATTGATTGAATCGTCTAGGAGTCTAAAAGAAAAGTTTCCCAAAGGCCTACTGAACTGAAGCTCTCTCTCTCCCATTTAACCCAGTTAATGAATTATGGGAACATTAAAAAAAACAACCAAACAGAGGTTTCCAGCTTTGCACAACATTCCCAGGTCACCAGCGAGCCTCGAACCGACAACCTTCTAACTGGAAGGCCACAGTGATACCCAGTGCACCATTGATCCGCCCCACATATTATTATATGATAAAAATATTAATATTGTACATGGACTGACAGTCTTTAGTGTTTTGAACCATTATAAAACACATCTGAGATGAGAGTCATTTCACATTTGTTTGTTGCTCCGATGAAGGTTTCGTCAGCAGATCAGCCTCGCTCAAGTCCTCAAACCATGATCTCCTGCAATAAGAAAACCCTCTACCTTCCTCAAGAGATGCCAGCCATCCATGCGGAGTTCACGGAGTACTACTTCCCCGATGGCAAAGATTATCCCAGTAAGATACATCCATCATTGGCATCTGAATAGTCAGCCACAACTGTGACCGGACGAGTTCTTCTCTTCCTGCAGTCCCATGTCCCAACCTGTATGTGCAGCTGAACGCTCTACAGCTGGTTCTGGACTCTCGCAGTCTGCTTTGGCTCAATCTGTTTGCGCTGGACCTTCGGCAGAGTTTGGAGCAGTTCATGGAGCTGTACAAGCTCAACGACTCACAGAAACCTGATGAACATGTCGATATCAGAATGGACGGACTCATGTTAAAGGTACAATTTCAATACGTCTGCACACATCTTTTAAAAAAAAAAAAGCCTCAAAAGCTGTGATTGTGCTGTTGTGCTCATAATTATTGTGTGATTTCTTAGCCATTTTCAGAAAATGAGAACGAGAACACAAAGCATTGTTTCCACTCAGTTAGTGTTTGGGTGAAGCCATTTATTGTCAAACGACTCTGTTTTACTCTTTTTAAATCATAAGGACATGATCTTTCCAAATGACCCTGATCAAAATTTACACACGGTTCGAGCGGCAGGTGAAAGGAACCATCGTCACCTCGACCTGTTTGCTTGGAATCAATGTTTGTGCAGAAAAGGTTTCTGAGTTTCAGGCTCCTGATCGACCCTCGCCTCTTTCATCCAAGGATTCTGGTGAAACCAACAAATATTTCTGCTACAACTGCCACAAAAATTGTGAGGGTTGCAAAGAAAAACCCAGAAATATCTTGTGGCCTGAACAAATGTGGCACGGCTGTTTCACAGAACACAAGAGGGAGACCCTTGAACAAATATGTACTGCATGGTCGAGTCGCCA